GTTTAGAGGTAGCCGCCCTTTCCGCGGGCTGGGCGGGGGAGGTGCAGACCCCGCACCCACGGACGCAGGGGGGGCGGCGGGGGCGACGGCAGTTGCCTTTGGACGACGAGGAGGTGAAAAAAGAAGAAGAAATGGAAAACTTCGCCGAGCCCTTGTTGGGGGGGGAGGGGGAGGTAAAGGGCCCCCCCCATCCGGGTGCTTAAAGGACGGGGGCCCCCTCCCCCGACCCCCCCCTGTGGACTTCTTCAGCGGCCCCCTGGAGGAGGGAGGGGCGTTCCCGACCCCCAGATCCCGTCGTTGGTACCGGGGGGGGTTCCTCTTTCCCCCCCTCCGAGCGCCGGGGGGGGGGGGGGGGTTCCGCGAACGGCGAGAAGCAGCAACAAGCTTCCCTGGGGTGGCGAGTGCTGGAGGTGGTCGAGGCCAGGTTCGAGTCGGGGCTGCACCCCCCGCGGATCGTCGCGATCGGAGACGTCCACGGCTGCGTGAACGAGATGAAGGACTTGGTGCGGAAGGTGGAGTACTGGCCCGGCGACCTGCTCCTGTTTCTCGGCGACTTGGTGAGTTTCTCCGTGCGGAGGGAAAGGGAGGGAGGGTTCTGGCGTAGGGTGGTGTTTGTGTTTCGTTTGGTTATTCTTTTGGACGTTCAGGCGTGCTTGCTTGGTGTTTTGATGTTTTGTGTGTCGGTGGTTTTATATTGGATTCGCAGGCGTGGGCGGCTTGGTGCCCATTTTTTGTCTCCTCTCAGGCAGGCACTTGTACGGTACGATTTTTTTTGTGTATCCGAGCCTGTGTTCGCGGGCTGGAGTTTTTTTCGGACAAGAACACCACCGAAACTAAATGAACACCATACGTGTGTGTGCTGGTTCTGCCTCCGAGCCATTCGTGTTGTTCACCCTTGTGGCGGCTCTCGTTTGCTTCACCCGCTGCACACAGCAGACGCACTCGCCGCCCTTCGCCGGCTTCACGCAAAGCATGCTCCTTAGGCTCCACGTAAGTTGCGATTTTCGTGTCTACCATCATACCATGAAATCACTTGGCTTCCAGTTTTCCTGATCCAATGCCTCTACGGTGGACGCTGCTGCCGCCGGCCGTGTTCCTCTTCAGGTGGCCAAGGGACCCAACAGCGCGGGGGTTGTGCGGACCGCCAGGGAGTTGGGAGGCGTGTCCGTGAGGGGGAACCACGAGTTTGAGGTAAGTTTTTTTTTGTGTTACGTGTAGGGTGATGGTGACGATGATGATGTGGTGGTTGCCATGTGCCGTAAGAAAACAGGGAGGGGGGGGGGGGGGGTGTACTCATAGTCGTGCATGCCGTAGTCGTTTGACCATTGACGTCGCATCCCTACAAAGCCGGGACGGAGCACGCCGGGTTCTCACCGGACCAGGCTCTCACATCACCAAGCGCGAAGCGCCGTGAGGTATTTGGCGAGTCGCATGAAGGGTGAGCTGCATCCTGCTAAGGGTGTTCGGCATCTTGTGCTTACTTCCTTGCGTACGGATGACAGCTACGTATGACTTAATTTATTTTCTGGTGCTTTCACTTCCAGAGACAGTTGTACGCACGGTGTAACTGCCTCGAGGAAGCTTGACCATTTTAACACAACGTGGTGCGATCATCCCCCGTTGCGCGGAGTGAGGTTTCTCGACCCCGCACAACATGATCTACTCGACCACCACTATGGTTACCGCCAAAAAAAAAAAACGAGGTAAAAAAAAAAAACGGTAACCTGGTTGCCGAGTTCACGAAGTGAATTGGCCTGTTTTACAACGTCGTTGCCAAGCGACGAAAACCCAATCCCGATGGCAAACACCGAGTGGGGGGCTTGTTTTACAACGTCGTTGCCAAGCGACGAAAACCCAATCCCGATGGCAAACACCGAGTGGGGGGCTTGTT